GCTATTAACAGAAATAACTTCCAATGAGTGATCAAAGTGTGTAGATTTTTTTTTCAGTATTTATACATACTGAAAAAATATTATTCATAATATATTTTTATTTCATTTTTTATATAAGTCAGTTATTATAATTATTTTATGGAGGCATATTATGTTTAAAAAGTATTACAATTAAAGATAAATTTTTATAAAAATTTACCCTGTAGTTTAATAAATTATACTTTTGTTTTTTTTTCTTTTATTTTTGCGTGTAGATTTCCAGTATGAAGTCATGTTTACAATGTCAACCCAAAAGTAGATTGTCACATAATTTAAGTGCGGAAATTCCAACTTAATTCTTGACAGTAGAAGATTTGAATGAATTTGAACTTAAAATGCATGATAATAGTTTTACACAAGAATTTGTGAGTTATATTTTAATATTTTTAAAAGCAATTTAGAGAAAAAAAAATGGACGATAAAATGATTATTATTCAATTGCTTTTGCAACTAATGTCACCTTATTTATAACCTATTTATTTTTAAACTATTTAGGTTGTAGCATTAATACAACTTAAGTATCATTAACTAATTAAATTGTTTAAAAATTTATTTCACTTATATAAAAATTTTTATGTGAAATATTTCAATTTGGCTGGCATTTTTTTTCTATTTAAGGTTAAACAACTCTCACGTGTTGGTGGAAAACCATCTAAATATATGGTTAAGGACCTAATATAAAGGTAATTTTTGTATTTTCAAAATTTGATTTTTATATGTTACATTTACTTCATATTACTATTAAGTTAGTAACTGCATAAATTACTAAATGATATCTTTTAGTTGTTTTATTTATTTTCATCTAAGATTGATGTCAAATGATCTTCAGAAAAAATTCAGCATGATTGGTTTAAAAGGAAAGCTTAAGTTTGAAAAAACTTTGTTGTATAATGTAATAAATAGTGAGTTTGTTTATAGTTTTTTTTTTTTTTAAATAACATTTTCCTAAATAGCTTTATTGCTGTTATATTATCTGGCAGACGTATTTTAGACACCCCCCTTTGTATTTTAGACACCCCCCTTTAGTAAGTTCGTAAAAAACGAGTCATGTTTAACATATAACATTTATTGAAAATTATACTTTTACCCTGAAGCCAACAAGAAAGTTTATTTTATTGAAAGCCATGCCCCAATCAAACGCTGAGCCTAATCCTAAGAGTCATGGCTAGGGTTTGGTTAGGGTATGGTTTTCAACAATATTTTTTTCATATAAAACTTTTTTACAGACTTAGTAATGAAGGGTGCCTGATATACACGTCTGTCCAATATATTATACTAATCTATCTTAATACTGCATCCTAATACTTTTTTTGTATAATTGTTTATCTTAGAAGCAGTATTAAATGTCTTTCCGGATGCTACCAGCTCAGAAGTACGAATAGAAGTGATGAACCATTTAAAATATGCTGCAGATTGTAAAAACCGGAAAACACTTCGGACAAGCGCCAGAAATGATGTCATGTCTATCAGTTCGAATTTTGCAGAAGAAGCCAGTAAAACATAATTTTTATATAATTTTTTCACTAAGTGTTTTTTTTTTTTTTTTTTATATACTTCAATATAATAAAGTCTTTATTTTTCAACATTTCTTTTGAATTTCTTAAACACAATATTAAATAAATATTAAGAAGAAAAAACTTTTTTTGTTTATGTGAATTTTAAAACTTAAGTTGTTAAACTTTAAAGATCTTTTAAATTAGTTTACCATATATTATTAAATCATGTGTCATTTTTTGATCATTGCTTTGAATAACATAAATATAAGTTCTGTTTTTAAAAGATTTACTATTTCTTTTATTATTTGTGATGGATTATAAATAATAATATTATTCAATATAAAAATTAAATCAATGGTTAAATAATGCTTCAAAATCATTTTTTACTTACAATTTTTTTTAAGATTCTTATGATGAAAGTTTATTTCTAAAAAGTTACAAAAGCTTTATTTAAATTTTAACAGTTTGTGTAATATTTTGTATTTTTATACTAAATAGCAACATTTAATGATAAAATGTTAATTAAACAAAATTATATAATTTTTATATAAATTATTTTGTTATATATATATATATATTCTTTTTTTTTTTAAGTGTTATAGATAAGAAATACAAAAATATACAATGACATCAAGGTCTACAATATGGAGAAAGACTAACTCTTTGATTGCCAGTATATTAGAAAATAATAACTATCAAAGTTCAACTGGTGAGTTTTTTTCTAGTCTAATTTATAATAGTTTTGATACTTTTGAAAGTGATTCTACATTACCAATAACTGAACTCTCTTCAACAAGTGATGATTTTAGTAACTCTTTTGAGTCTTTTCATTCTAAACATTGTCCTGATTTGGCATATGATCTTGCTCAGTGGGCGGTTAAGCATGCAGTTATTTTTCATTAAATGGTTTGCTTATTTTGTTGCGAAAACACGGACACGAGGACTTACCAAAAAATTCTAAAACTTTACTTAAAACGCCTAATTGTGTGCTTACTGAAAATATGTGCTCTGGTGACTATATCTATCTAGGTTTAGCTACTGGTATTAAAAATATGCTCCAAGTTGATGAAGCAAGTATCAATAACAACATAAATTTAATAGTAAATTTAGATGGTCTGCCGCTTTTTAAATCTAGCAAATCTCAGCTTTGGCCTTTACTTTGTCAATTTGGTTGTAAACCTCCGTTTCCTTTTGCTTTTTTCTGTGGCAAACAAAAACCTAACTCTTCTATGGAGTTTCTCAGGCAGTTTTTGGAGGAATTCAAAATGCTTTCAGAAAATAGTCTTGTTTACAAAGATAATTTTTTTAATGTCAGTTTAAAGTTTTGGACATGTAATGCTCCGGCACGTGCTTTTATTAAATGTATAAAGCTACACAATGCTTACCATGGCTGTGAACGATGTATTGACAAGGGTGAATGGCAAGGAAGAGTTGTTTTTAATCAGGTTAATTTTGTTCTTCATTCAGACGAACAATTTTCTAAAATGTATTATAAAGATCATCAAGTATCTAGAAGTCCTTTGATTGATTTTAATTTATCTTGTGTTTCTACCTTTGTTTTACACTATATGCATTTAGTTTGTCTTGGGGTTGTTCGACGAATCATAATATTTTGGACAGAGGGACCAAATTAACCGCATAACTGAAAAATTAAATGACTTATCTGGTAAAATGCCATCTGATTTTTTCAGACAGCCTAGATCACTAGGAGAGTGTACAAGATGGAAAGCTACAGAGTTTCGTTCATTTCTATGTATACTGGTCTCTATGTATTGAAAAATGTATTAAAACACGATCTTTATATACATTTTCTTTGTCTTAGTATTACTATTCGTGTGTTAAATGACAATAATTCTAGTTCTAATGCCATTGGCTATCCCAGTGGGCACCCGACGTCAATCCGACGTTGGGTTTACGTTGTATTTTCATCAGCGACGTCGGCCGACCTAAAACAACATTGGAACAACGTCAATATAACAACGTCGAAACAATGTCGTTTAACCGACGTTGTATTGACATCGTGCGATGTCTTACGACGTATATTGACAAAAAAAAACATTAATACATAGTGTGCTAATTTGCGTTTTGCGTTTAAGTTGTGCCAAAACATACTTTATGGTTTGTTAATGACCAGGAAGCAAGTTACCTTTAAAATTGTAATTAAACATTAAAAAATTATGAAGTGTGTATATTTTTAACAAGCAAGAGTAAGTATATTTTTTTTATTGGTTTTAATTAATAAATTATATATATATATATATGTAAGTATATATATATATATATATATATATATATATATATATATATATATATATATATATATATATATATATATATATATTTTTTTTTTTTTTTTAATATAATTATAGAAAATGCTAATACTTTTCATAATAAATATATATTATAACCATTAAAAACTTGAGTTTATGAGAAGTTATAAGGCAAATAAACTTAAGATTTAAAACGAAAAATGGACTTAAGATAGACTTTTAAAACGAAAAATGGACTTAAGATAGACTTGTTTTGCAGCAACAGTATTGATAGATATATAAATAGATATATATACATATAATATATGTATATATATATATATATATATATATATATATATATATATATATATATATATATATATATATATATATATATATATATATATATAATATATATATAATATATATATATATATATATATATATATATATATATATATACATTTATATATACACATATATATGTTATTACATATATTATATATATTATATACTATATTATCATCATCATCATCATCATCGTTTTAGCGACCTTGTTTCCATGCTTGCACGGGATTAATGATATATATATATATATATATATATATATATATATATATATATAAATATATATATATATATATATATATATATATACATATATATATATGTATATATATATATACATCATTAATGTCTTTAGAGTCTTACCCTTAGTTTTACCACATACCCTTAACATAATTATAGGCATATGTCTTAGTCTGGCTAGTTATAGAAGATTTCCTGCTACTTTCTCGTTTCTTTACTATGTACAAACCATTCTGCTAAATAAAGTGGGCAAAAAGCTCCATTACCAAATCTTTATTTACAAACAAAATTTCACTATTTCTAAAAGTATTTAATTTTTTTTTTCATTAAACTATATCTGTGTAATGTTTATAAAATCAAAACATTGATTTTTTTAACTGATCAATGTTATTTGCTTGTTTAATCAACTTTTCGGAATTTAGGGGCATCAAGCCCCCAAGATAATTTTAAAGTTTTAAGTTTCTATTAACTTTTATTATCCACGAAAATACATTTAAAATGTTTTAACTGTGCGAAAACGTCATTGCTTAAGTGCTTTAAATTCTTGGTGTTTTAACGTCGTTAAAACTTCAAGAATTGACTGAGCTCTTGCTCTTGTCCACACTTCCCTAAATTGGTTTATGAGAACAATTTATTCCTCTCACAAAAATAAAAAGTTAAGCAAGTTCTTTTAATTAAGGGTTGTAAACTTTACCAGGAATAAAATATATTTTTATTATGAGATAAATGCACTTGTAAAGCTTAGATTAATAATTTAAATAATAAAAAAATATTTATTTTGATTTTTCTTTCTTCAGGGCACTAGTCTTCTAACAATAACTACGGTATTGTAAGGGGATTAAATTAATTTTCTTATTATTCTATTATGTAAATTTCAAACTAATTTATTTCTTAAGACCTTGCTTGCGATAAAATCTTTTTAATAGAACTGTTATATCACGCAAAATCATTAAGCTCTTGCAAAAAGGTGTTTAGAGGAGCAGCTTGCATGGCTTGTCATGCTTGTTTTAGGAGAGCAGCCTTTGAAAGTTGTTGTCGTTGAAAATTATTTTTCATTTTTATTTTTTAGATGTCTTACATTAATAATTGGAGAGCACATAATCGTGAAATCAGTCATTTAATTAACGAGGCCCTACAAGATGATGATGATGACGATGTACAGTTTATTACCAATGCAGTTGAATCTCTTTACTCTGAATCAGTTCATTTTAGTAATAACAGTTTTAACAATTCTCCTATTGAGATCTTAAGTGATAAGAGTAGTACATTGCATTCTCAAGATCTTACTAATATAAGTTTTGAAAATGTTGACCCAGTTGTAGAATATTTTCTTTCTGATGAACTAGCTTCCTGGGCTGCTCGAAACAAATGTACACGTGTATGCATTAATGAACTTTTAGAGATTCTCAGTAAAAATGGACATAGCAATTTACCAAAGGATTGCAGGACGCTGATGAAAACCCCGCGTTATACACAGACTTTAACTGTAAGTGGAGGAGAATATGTTTACCTTGGTATTTTAAATGGTATAACGAAAATACTGGAAATGTATACTGGAAATAAGTTATCTCTAAATCCAATATATTTAGAAGTTAATATCGATGGACTTCCTTTATTCAAAAGCAGTAGTAAACAGTTTTGGCCAATACTTGGTGCATTTGGAGGAATGAAACCTTTTATTATAGCATTGTACTGTGGAATGCAAAAACCAGATCCTGTTTCTGAATTTCTAAAAGATTTTTTAGTAGAATTTTGCGATTTAAAGGCAAACGGCTTTAAATCGCAATCGTTTTTTCGACAATTTGTTGTTTAAACTTGATTTAAAATATTTTTGCTGTGATGCTCCAGCGAGGCAGATGTTAAAATGTGTCAAGGCGCATAGTGGATATTACTCTTGTGAAAGATGTACTGTAGAAGGCACTTATCTAGAAAATAGGGTTATTTTTGAAGAGCAACAATGTCCTTTGCGCAACGATCTGGAGTTTTCACAACAGAGTTATCAAGGTAGTCATCAATTAGGTCGAAGTATACTTATTGATTATGAGATTCCTTGTGTTAAAAGCTTTTTGTTGGACTCCATGCATTTAGTTTTTTTAGGTGTAACAAAAAGAATACTCTATTTCCTGAAAGAAGGTCCAAGAGTAAGTAGACTCTCTCAGATGAAAATTAACGAAATATCTTGTCATCTGGAGCAATTAAAGTTACCAAGTGAATGTAATAGGCAGCCAAGATCTTTAAAAGAGTTAAAAATGTGGAAAGCCACTGAGTTTAAACAATTTCTTTTGTACACTGGTCCAGTTGTTTTAAAAGGAATTCTTACAAGAGATAGCTATATAAATTTTCTTTCTTTTAGTATTGCAATAAGAATCATGTGCTACACAGAGTTTGAAAGAAGAACCGCGTTGTTACCATATGCAAAAGAGCTTCTGGAGTGGTTTGTTTTTAACGCAAAAGATTTTTATGGTCGAACTTTTTCAACATATAACACCCATTCCTTGATCCACATACATGAAGATGTCATGAATCATGGAGAAGATTTGATTTCAATGTCAGCTTTTCAGTTTGAAAACCATATGCAGGTTTTAAAGCATTTTATAAGAAATGCAAATAGTCCACTTGTTCAAGTCATCAAAAGAAGTACAGAGTTAGAGAATGCAAGCGAATTAATTAAACATAAACATATAAAAGATGAGATCTCAAGTATTAACAGAGATAGTTGGTTTTGTTTAAAAAATGGGAACTTAGTCAGTGTGGTAGAAAAATTGGATAATGAGATGTACAATTGTAAAGTTGTTAACAAAAGACGTACAAGGTATCTTTTTCTTGAACCTTGTGACTCAAGACATTTGGGTATTTACGTTTTTGATAAAGATATTCGAATGAGCAATACAATTATTTCTAAAAATGAAATTCTTCGGAAACTTGTCTGTTTAACTCGTAATCAAAGTTATGTTTTGATGCCTTATGTTCACAATATTAGATTTTAAGTTTGTTTGAATTTTTTTTATCTTATAGTTTTGACACATAAATAAAGCTATTATGTGCTGTTATATATATATATATATATATATATATATATATATATATATATATATATATATATATATATATATATATATATATATATATATATATATATATATATATATATATATATATATAAATATATATATATATATATATACATATATATATATATATATATATATATATATATGTATATATATATATATATATATATATATATATATATATATATATATATATATATATATATATATATATATATATATATATATATATATATATATATATATAAATGAGAGGGCATTTTTTAAATTAAAGATTGTTTGTTTTAATTTATTTTTTTAGAGTATTTTGTTAGCTGTTTTTATTTAACTTAAGCATCTTTTTTGTTAATATTTTATTATGTAAAATTTTACTTTTATTTATAGTTTGGTGATGTTATTATGGTTTTAAAATGATTTTATGTTTTTATTATCTACCATACAAAATTTTGTTAAACACTTCTTGGAACATAACAGTTATTAGGTCTTTCAATATTCTCTTTCTATTGCCTCCTTAAATTTAGAGGTGTAAGGTATATGATATTTTATTTATCTGGCCTATATAGATACCTAGATATGAGCCTAGATACAGGTAATACAAATAATGTGTTTGCATTTATCTTGTTAAGTTTTAATTGAAATTTAAAAAAATATTTGGGACCACTCATAAAGAATGTCATGCAAAATGGGGAAGGAGCGTATCACGTTAAAAAGGTTTAGGGATACAGCGGAAGGTGTTTTTCAGAAAAGGGTTTCACTTTATAGTATTTTTATTTATTTTTTAAAACATTTTAAACATGTGAAAAACTACGCTATGCTATGCATGTGTCTTAATGAAGTTATTTTTAGAGAATGTTTTTATTTTATTTTTTAAAAGTGGGGCAACATATGTTTGTTTGCACGTCAGTCATTCAATGTGCATGTCTAAAGATGAATAAAATAAAGTTTTATAATAACGCTTATTCTGCTTAGAATAAGCGTTATTATCATATCCAATACACCTCTTAAAAAGCTTTTTACATTGTACTTTTTACTTGTCATAGAATCAAGGTTTTTTTTCTTTTAGTCTATAATGTCGTATACAAGAGCTTGTTGGTTGGAAAATAAAAAAGATTTTGAGAGAGTAATTCCTTCAAGTTGGGTGGATACAACAAGAAAAGTTGTTTATTGGCCAAATGGTTTGCATGTAAAACGTGCATTTGAAAAATTAGAAACGCCTAAAACTGGATGGAAACAGTTCTCTCTAATCAAAGTCAAAATTAGCGGTATGTGTTAAATATTTTTTAAGTGATTTTATATATTTTTGTTGTAGTTACACCAGAGAAACTAAACCAATGTTGTATGCATACAGAATTACAACGTTTTTAGTTATCAAGGATTTTTATTATGTTCAAAAATTGATCATGAAAATAAATAATAGCATATATAAATATACCATTGAATAAAATATATAGATAGAAGATATAAGTTAATTTACTTTTAAGTATTATATCACTAAAACTCATAAGGTTGGGTGTAAACACATTACCAGTGAATTTGATGTTTATGGAAGTTTTGAATCTTCTTATTTGGTAAAAAATTATTCTTTTTATCACTTTTTATTGCTATTTTTTAAGGTACAAAAGAAGACTGTGAAGGCTGCACAGATTACACGACCACTGAGGAAATAACGGAACCTGTGGAAATAATTTCTTCTGATAAAGGTAAGTTGATGTACTATTGTAGATATTTATTAGTTATGTTAACATATACAGCATCAAATGAACTTTTTGTTTGTTTGTATATTTTATTTCCTGAGCTTTAACCAGTTTTTACTTTTTAGGTATTTGCCTTTTTCGTATTAGTTTTTGTTAGTATCTAATTTATTTTTTGCATTTTACCTTACAGGAAAAATCATTCCAAACATACCTCCAACATTCCCAACATGTAAAGTCATTGCAACTGCCCCACCACCCCATTTACAATCCATCCCAGTTAGACCACCACCATCAAGATCAAATCACTCACAACCTGGTTTACATTCAAGATCGCATTCAGGGTTAAACTTGCATTCACGAGCACATTCACGGTCAAGGTCACGATTACGGTCTAAGTCTTGTTCACGTTCAAGATCACGTTATCAGTCGAAGTCTCATTCACGATCGAGGTCAGGTTCACACTCGAAGTCAAATTCACATTCAAGGTCCCATTTGCAGTCGAAGTCCCCATTACGTTTGAAGTCTTGCTCACAGTCTAGGTCCCAATCACGATGTTCGCGATCTCGATCAAACTCAGACTCAAGATCTTCTAATTCAAATTCAAATGTCTCCAGACTTGGGTTAGTTGCAGTATCACCAATTGTCTGTAAGTCTATCCCGATAAAAAGAAAAGATGCTGTGCATTTTAGACGGAAAGATTTTCCTATGGACGTTGGAGGTGAGAATTTTATTATTTTAGGATTTTGTTTTGAATGTTATTTTAAGTTTTAAGTTATGCAGCACATACGACCAGAGTACGGCACATTTTTCCATACGCTCCACGTGCCTGGTTTTGATTAGCTTATTTTAATCACCATACT